GCAATTATTACATTGAGTGTAAATATTACATAATTTTTTATGCAAATATTACAACTTTACATATTAAAATTTATGGACGCAATATTGCGGCAGGGAAATTTCCTGATGTTTTATTTTTATTTTTACCATACACACAGGACTCAGAGCAATATATATGGTAACATATGAGTTTTGCTTAGCTGGGATAATTATAGTCATGATTAGAAAATGAGTTTACAGTGCAGATCATCTATAATTAATTAATTGCTTATAGTAACAACTGGTCAGCTTCAAAATACTAAAACAAAAAGTTTTTATATCATTTTAATAAAGTTAACCAATAAGTTTTATTGCTCATGACTCAAGCTTCAAGACTTATCAGCTGGTTTTTTCTTAAACTGAAAATTGGTTGAGCCATAGCATTTTGAAGATTCCAATTTTTGTTATGCTCTTAAGAAATTGAGACTAAGAAAATTTCGTGTAACAATTTTTTTCATAAAATATTTTTTACATCACATATTGATTTGTAATAAAAGTTCTTAAAAAAGTTAACGAACATATTATATCAAAAGAAAATCATTACCAAATTTGATCATGCAATTCAAAATATTGCAACATGAAAATTATTATTGCATTTTTGACATTTTTGAGCATAACTCTCAGATTCAAAAAATCCATGAAAAAAAAATATTGTGACAAAATCCAACATATGGATCACATAATATTTCAAATTTTTTAACTTTTGAGTATAGATGACCACACTGTAGAATTTTTGAAGGTCATATCTTAGTTCTCAAGTAAGTGAACTTGGATCAATTATTACTATATTAGATAAAAATACTTAAATCTTAAATTTGAAGGTTCAGTATCACATTTTTACCATGTCCTCATGGAAATATTGTAAAATGCAACCTTTAAATACCCATATTGTGCCCATGTCAGGAAAGTTGTTTACATCTATGGTAAAACAATTGAGCTTAATAGATGCTGGGATAAGGATTACTTAAATCATCACACAAAGGGCACTGGACGTAAAGCAAAGAACAATTTTCATTTTTTACAAGACTGCTCAAATTGAATATACAGAAAGTTTGGAAGAGGAATTTGATTCTGATGTATATGATAACATGGGATGATGATGACTTACTCCAAGTATGAAATAAACAATAATAATGATTATACTTCAATCTCACGTCTTATTTTAGATAATAATAAAACAAATACATGCCAATCTTTAAAAAAAGTAAATTATGATGGAACCATTAATGATATATCCTATATTTCCTTAGATGTGTTGTATGCATTCCTATTGATATCAATATTTTTGGTGATTTAGCTAAGGAAAAATATAATATTAACACAACGTCTACCATCTAACATATTTCAATTGATGGTACTATTCTCAAACTGTTAGGAGATGGAAAGAGGCATTATAATGAATATTGAATATTTTGGTTGGAATGATATTATTGAAAAAGTTAATGCAAAATTTCATAAATAGGTCACATTTTTAGTTTGCTTAGTCATGGATAAATTTTTGAGAACTCCTCATGAGCTGGCTTGCAAGCCAAATAACTTATTCAGCTTGTGAGCTGGCTCATGTGGACCTTAGTCTCATCTTAGTAAAAATTTGCTTAAAGCTATTATAAAATTTTTGAATTTACTTTTTACCTCTGTATGTATTTCTCTAGGCTCTACACAGACACTAATTCATAATCCTTTAATGACACATAGCCCAATATATTTCTATTATAAGAGAAATAAAAATTTATGCAACTGCCATTCCCTCCAAGAAACGTAGTAAAAAATCTCTGATTAATAATTAAAAGCTAGCTGAACAATTAATCAGGAAATAAATAGTAGTTATCCCTCGCAAAGTGGGGGTTAACGCCAAATTTATCCACTCCGAATGTGGGGGTTAAGAGAGTTATCCCTCGCTTCTATATAATGCATTATGTAGATCCTTATAGTTTTTAAAAGCTTATTTCTAAAAAAAATTTCTTGCTTTTTTAAATGCCCATTTTTATGAAAAATATTTACAACAGCAAAGGAAATCTATGGGCCACTGTTTTCTGATAAGAATAGTGGGTTATTGTTTTTGTAATGGTAATACTGTAATACTATATAGGCACTAATTGTACAATATTGATTTCCAATGATCCTCTTGAAGAAGCAATTACAAATGTCAAATTGATTAATTCTGAAATTGAAACCACAAATAATAATAATTCTTTTGAAGAAACTGAGGTCTTTTTGATAGAGTGGATTCTTTCGATATATTCCTATAATATATTTTAAAATTTTCTATTTTTTTTTTATAGTCAAATAATAATGTACATATACCTATGAACAAAGAAATTGAAGACACAATAAATTATGGTGAAGTTAAGAATACTACTTGCAATACAAGATTCTGGTTGAAAGTTCTGACAGATGTTAGAACAAAAATGGGATACAATTATGACATTAGTGAAATTGTTGTTATAAATCAGTTACAAGAAGAATTGATTCAATTTTTTCAAGCGTTAAACAAAAAGACAAATCACCATATGCACCAACATCAATAAAAATTGCTTTGCTGCTATACATAGGTATTTATGGGAAAATTCAAAAATTTATCCTTTATGATGAATGTATTTTTCCAAGACTTCACAAACATTTAGATGGCAAAATTAAAAAAATACAAGATTTAAGCATAAACAAACAGAAAAAATCTGACTCATTCAAATATGATGAAATTTACCAAATTTTAACACATCCTGAGTTAAACAAAGACACACCATTATCCACCACTTACAAAACCTATTTCTGGTTGTGTTTCTTGTGTGGTTTTTGTGGTGGAGATGCTCAAAGATTAAAATTGGCAAATGTGTAATTAGCAGCTATTAATGGACTGACAATTACAATTCCTTGTGAAAAAAACAAAATTTCTATAAAAAATGTAATAATGTTCAAATAAATCTTCAAATCGCACCAAAAGATTAATTTTTAATGTTTATAATTGATTCATGATATGAAATCATTGTAATTCTTGCTTTTGTTGTATTTAGAAAAAAATTTTTAATAATAAACATAATAAACATAAATAAATATTGTGTAAATTTCTGGTATGATTACTAATTAAAAAACCGGGGTGATAACTAATTGAAAAACTGGATGTTATTGATAACCATAAGGATCTACATAGTCTATTATTATAGAAACGCATCAACGACCAGCTCAAGACACGCATTCTAGAAATTGTCGGACATCCAGTTAACCTTTTTGATCTCGACAAAAACGGCAAGCTTATCCCTATGCCACAATCATCCTATTCCAGAGAAAAAGTTGTCGCTGAGATTGTTGCACAACTTCGTAATTGGAATATCTGAACACGGCAAAATGGGGGCGTTACCTCGTCACAGGGAGGATTCGATTTTGATGTTGGAGGTGGTAAAACAATCAGAGCGCCAGATATTGCTTATGCACCCAAAGAAATAGATTGTCAATTGGATGCACAACAGAATTGGAGTTTAAAGGTGATCCTTTCACCCCTATATTTGTTATCGAAGTCGGAAACATTTCAAGTCATTCAAAGTTTGAGGAACTTGATAGAAAATTCAAGGATGTATACTTTGCGGAGGGGACCTCTGTACAATTAGGGTGATTAATAGACCCAGAAAATAAAGAGATTCACATAGATAGAAGGGATCGACGCCGTATTAATCATGGATGGAAAGAAGTTGATAATGTGGATTTTTTACTAATGTTTACTTTAGTAATATGGAAAATAAAACATGTAATTTCACAGGTACGTTTTTATTATTTTTTTACTTTTTGACATATACAATCAATTTTATTATTCATATATTTACTGGGTTAATTACAGCGAGAATCGATATCACCTGAACCATCATCATTCTCTTGCAATTCATGTTCAGAAACCTTCACTGATCCATATGTTATGATTACACATGTTGAGGATAAGCATGCATACAAACGAAGACATTGATTAGCATTGCTTTATTCATAAATTCATTAGGCCACAGAATATGATGGATAGGAAATCCGAATTTAGATGATTTATTGAATAATCCGAATGTTATATTTATCAAACGAATTCTATTACCCATTTACTTGCTTATTTGGCTATTAATTGCTTGTTTACTTAAAAACACATATACGAATCAAAAAGATATTATAAAAATGATGATAATAATATTAACCTTGATATGAAAGAAAAAATATCTTATTTCATATTTTTTGTAATTATTTATTATAAATGTGCATTTTTAAAATAATAATATATATTATTTTATAATATATTAAATTAATAAAAATTTATTGATGAATACATGATTAATTGACTTTTATCTTTCTATTTTTAAAGCCTTGAAAGATGGTGGATGTCTTTGTAAATAAATATTCCAAGCACAATTTCAAGACTTCAATATGCCAAATTCAAATCTATAAATATTAAGAAAATTCTAAACCAATACAAATTAGCTCACTTGACACCAAAAAATTAATAAAACACTTTTTCAATTGCTCTATAATGACTGCACCCTGTTTCATGGTAATGATTCCCATGATCACGAATATTAGCATAATCTGCAAGACATCTAATAATAAATTATTATTATTAATTAAATCAGCCAATAGATCAATAATTAAATAAATCTCAATTATTATTACTATACTTACAACCAACAGAATTCATGTTTGCATTCAAGAACTTTACATGTCATATGATCACAACCCTCATTCTTTGAAATTCTTACTCCACATTTAGGACAAGGTTTGGTATGTTGTTCTAAATAGGTGTGAGTAGCCTCATTTCTAGCTTTCTCAACTTCGTCATACTGTTGGCAAGTTAATCCTTCATGCCATAATGAATCATGTGTAAAACAACTTTTAGTTCCACAATCACCACATGTTAATATTGGCTCAGAATCGCTTCCTATATGAGATTGAGCTGATCCACATTTAGGATTTTTACACCACCTGATATCTGACATTTGTTGAAGTGCTTTACGTAATGCTAATTTATCATACCTAAAAAAAAAAAAATTTTTTTAATTTCTCTTTTTGCTCAAAAAAATTTTTTTTTTGAGAAATAAATAAATGAAACGGGTCTTTATATTTATTTATTTACCTTTCATATAAATCTTTTTTAACAAGACTTTTTATTTCATAACTATCTAAAATTACATGACATCCCGCAAAAGGACATTTAATATTTACATCACCTTTATCATTTAAATTACTTTCAATGTATTTTTTAACGCACTCGTCACATATATTTGTATCATGATTACAATTCTTTGAGATTATCACAAATGATTTAATATACCGTTTCTCAATACAAATCATACATTCTTTTTTCTTTAAAAAGTTCCTAATAGTTGACATCTTACTGTTGGAGCTTTTTGATTTAACTTTATTATTACTATTACCATTATCTGTAGTGTTGGAAATGGAGGTGGTGCTGTAAGAGCTATTTCTTGGAGAATAACTATCGTAAAGTGAGTGCTTAGGTAATGGGGAAATTGGTGGATTGTGGAAATCGTTATACATTGTCAAAAAATATATATTAATATTAATATAGACAAATCATTTAAATATTATTTTATATTTTTAAATCACCAATAATATTTTAGTATATAGAAAACATAATTAGTAATTTTGTGTATCTATTTATTTTTTAACACAGTCGACGTTCGATATAGTAAATCGTACAATGTAAAGAGGTTGAAGATTAAATTCCTGTAGTGAAGTTTTACCAAACAAAGAAAAAGAAGAATGCATAAAATCACGACGAACTTTTGTTGATGTTAAATTTGTTCTTTAAATAATGCAATTTTTATTCAAGATGTATTAAAATGGTGCACATGATGACAATAATAGATAATTAATGATCCTATGGGTGAAATTTTAAACTATCTAACTGTTGATTCCCCCACTAATGTTATTATTAGAGTTGTTTGTTACACACTATCCAGTTCTCCGCGAAGAAATAGCAAGTTTTTAAACGAAAACGTACGGTGAGTTTCGTGAAATACAGATTAGTATTTATAGCGCGATAATATTCTGGCGTCACAATGTTATAAAATCACACAACTCAACCACATACGTAATATTCGTTCGGAGCATCAATATTATTAGCACTGAATGCAAAGCATATTAGCATCATATCATGTATTCATGATCAATGATTTTCATGGCCAGATGGTGCATAACTTATAAATGGACACGCTGCCCCCATTCACGGACCAAAAAATCGCAAAAAAAATGGTGCATTTATTTTGCCTTTTATGTTGCATTCGAATTCGAGGGTCGAGATACGTAGTGCCGAAATGGCGTTCTATGTATGATTTGGCTTTACACATTACATTCAAACGCGAGGTGTGTATATGTTCGTTCGGAGCATCGAAATTAACCAGTCATATTATTGTTATATCAAGATTTTTATTTTATTCGTTGTGTTGAGCAAAAAATTTATTTATTTATATTTAACAAAGGGATTGTTTTACAAATTTAATAAATTTAATAAAAGATCCTTTGCAAAGAAGAACTCTCATGTTAAAAAAATCAACCAAGCTTTTTTTTCTTAATTAAAAAAAAAGAGATCTCTTTGTCTGATCTTTTCCTCGTGTTTTATTTATTATCCCAGATTAAAGATCAATTGGATTTTTTTTTTCCAAGTCTATCGCTATAGAAAAATAAACTTCAAAGTAATCTACAAATTTCGATTGTTAAAAAAAATCAACCAAGCTTTTTTTTCTCGATTAAAAAGAAAAACTCCTTTGCAAAGATTAATCAATGGATTTTATTTGTTTTCTCCGAAAGGAAATTTTTCATTAATCAACGAATTTTATTTGCTTTCTCCGAAAAGAAATTCAGTAATTAAATTTTTCTTGTCTAGATCATCCATTATCCTTAAAATGGTCAAAATCAAAAATAAATTTGTTTTCTCCGAAAGGAAATTCAGATCATTCAAATGACCAAAATCAAAAAAAAAAATATTTTTAATTTCAACACGAACAATTCGTACATATTGTTTGTTTATCGATCATTGAATTGACCGATAATAACAACAACAAAATAATTGTGTATTTGAATCCCGGTCTCGTGACCCAAAGATATACTGACAAGTCTTTTGATGATCTAGGATCTGAGGTAAAGGCTCCAAGCCGAGGTAATAAGTTTGGTCATTTTGAACGGTCCGAAGCGTCAGAGCCAAACGAAAAGCTAACAGTAGACAACGATATTTATCATTTTTGGGAAAACGAAAATAGTTTTGTTCAAACTTCAATTTTGACAAAGTTGAGCAACAAAATATTTAAAAGATTCGTAATTCGTTATCTTAGTAAACCGAATTGTTGGATCGACATCAAATTGTAATGAATCGTTTTTTCTTTTTTTGTTTTTTTGCTACGCTGGATTTTACAACAGAATATTTCCCGTGCAACCAAACATTTCAAATTTGTAGATTAAGGAAAGGAATCGTAACACGACAACCTTCCTTTCTTTAAGGAAATATTGTAACTGTTATACTAAAAAAAACCCACCCATTTTCTCCACTTTATTTATTAAAATATCAAGTCAAGTTTTAAGTCTTAAATTTTATAATAATGTCACATAGTAAATTATTATCACCAGGAAGAAATGAATTTGTATTTAAAATTGATAATGAAATGTATAATAATGCTCTGGTTAATTCTGATAAAGAGAGTAGAAAAGATTATTATTTTTCATTAGTCGGGAAAAACAAGGAGCTTTCTGAGAATGAAAAAAAATATTGCAAAGAACAGTTTATTTATGAGGTTGAATTAAATAATGCAATATATAAAGAGGGAAAACCAAAAAAATGTAACAAATGTAAATTGATAAGATACTCTGATAGATTCTGTGAAGGTTGTATTAGTTTACAACTACAGAGTCTTTTCACTACCTGGACATCTGGAAATAACATAATTGATGATTTTATTCAACAATGTCAAATCCTTTCATCTCTGCCAAATTGGATTTTAGAATGGATACCTTTTGATCAATTTGAAAAAGTAACAAAGTTAACTGAAGGTGGATTTAGTTCAATTTATATTACAGTATGGTCAAGAGGAATGATTAATGATTATGATGAAAATAAAAAGGAATTTAGTTATTTTGGAAGGCAAAAAATAGCATTAAAAAGTTTAAATAATTCAAGTAATCCAGAAAAAGACTTTTTTGATGAGGTTGGTAGTTGTCATTTAAAACAGTACTGTGTATACTATGTTATATAATATTAATTGATTTTATATTCAATTTCAGGCAACGAATTATTGTAAAATTAAATCAGGGTTGATTGTTGAATGCTATGGTATAACTAAATTCCCGGATAATGGAAATTATGCAATAATTTTAAATCATCATGAAGAAGGAAGTTTAAGGGGTTATTTGGAAAAAAATCATTTAAATTTAACATTAAAAGACAGAATTACAATCTTTAGATATTTATGTGATTCATTAGATGTTATACATAGAAAAGATTTAATCCATTGTGATTTACATAGTGGTAATATATTATTGCAAGGAGGTAATTGTTATATTACAGATTTGG